TTCCCCCCTCCGCCGCTGCGGGAGAGGAAGCTCCGGGTCCGGCGACGGATAACCCGGGACCTTCCGGGTCGGGTTCGGGTCAGAGGAGGTTGTGGGGGAAGGAGCGGCCGACGGACTGGTGGGACCGAGTAAGCCGACCAGATTTCCCGGAGGAAGAGTTCCGGCGAGAGTTCAGGATGAGTAGATCGACGTTCAACCTGATCTGCGAGGAGCTACAAGAGGCGGTGACGAAGAAGAACACGATGCTCCGAGACGCGATTCCGGCGCCGAAACGCGTCGGCGTCTGCCTTTGGCGTTTAGCGACTGGCGCGCCGCTCCGCCACGTGTCGGAGCGGTTCGGGCTCGGGATCTCGACCTGCCACAAGCTCGTGACCGAAGTCTGTAGAGCGATCAACGACGTCCTGATGCCGAAGTATCTCCGGTGGCCGTCCGACGAAGAAATCAGATCCACGAAGGAGAAATGCGAATCGCAATTCAAAATCCCTAACGTCTTGGGATCGATCTACACGACCCACATCCCGATCATCGCACCGAAGGTCCATGTGGCGGCGTATTTCAACAAGAGGCACACCGAGAGGAACCAAAAGACGTCGTACTCGATCACGGTCCAGGGGGTGGTGAATTCCGAGGGGATCTTCACCGATGTTTGCATCGGAAACCCGGGATCTCTAACCGACGACCAGATCCTGGAGAAATCGTCTCTTTTCCGGCAAAGAGCGGCGCGTGGGCTCCTCCGAGACGGATGGATCGTCGGGAATTCTGGGTTCCCGCTGATGGATTGGCTGATGGTGCCGTACACGAGGCAGAACCTGACATGGACGCATTACGCGTTCAACGAGAGAATCGGAGAGATTCAGGCGGTGGCGAAGGCGGCGATGGGGAGGATGAAGGGTCGGTGGGCATGTCTGCAGAAGAGGACGGAGGTGAAGCTGCAGGATCTGCCGTACGTGCTCGGCGCGTGCTGTGTGCTTCACAACATCTGCGAGATCAGGAAGGAGGAGATGTCGCCGGAGCTAGTGTTCGAGGTCTTCGATGACGTCACCGTGCCGGAGAATAATCTCCGGTCGGCCACTGCGGTTCAGGCGCGTGACCACATCGCACACAATCTCTTGCATCGTGGGCATGCCGGAACGAGTTTTCTATAGCCACGATAGAGTCTGACTGTTTTTTTTCTATTTTTGGCTGGGAATTTGCAAAATGTTTTTTTGGGTATTGCAAAATAATAATAAAAAAACGTTTTGTTAATGGACATTTATGGAATCATAATGCCGTAGAGCTTAAAAAGACAATCTTTGATATTTTGATATTGCAAAAGAAAAAAAACAGCATATGCTGTTACATCTCTCTAGTTTTTGGTTGGGCATTGGGTGTCATATCTCACCAACAAGAACAAGCCCAACAAGTATTCATAGCATATTGTCTCTATCCATTTCCCGGGATACACAAAATGCATCCATTTCTATCCTGATTGGACTCAAATTGATCAAAGACAATGGCATATATAGATCTGGCATGACTATTGATCACAAAATTATTTAACACAGAACAAGAATCACAAGAAAGAAGGGATACATATCAGACGTGGACTCGACTCAGCTAAGCTAAAAGCTCACAGAAAACACAGCGTTTCAGCGACGAACTCTAGTGAGAGTGAACTATATACATTGGGCAGATGCGAGATTTGGGGCGATCTTCAAAGAGGCTAAACGGGCGGTATGTTTGAAAAGGAGAAGCCTTTGTATCCTTTGTAAGCGTAATACGCAATCCGTGTATAGTAAAACCCGGGGATAAACAGGATACAGCCGAGAATCACAAAGAAAATACCTGATTCATCAATGAAACAAACACGAGTTATAATATAACACCTTTGCTCATGACCAAATGGGTTGTTGCCTAAAGAGAGGTGGCATCTTGTTCTGTCTGTTTAGAACCCAAAGATGCTCTTCTCTGTAACCAAATTAAGGAAACGACAGGAAGAAAATGAAACACAAGAAAACAATCAGAAAGAGGAAACTTGAAATGTTCAGTTGACGAAACAATGAAACAGTTGAAAGAAAATCATGTTTTACTATGCTAAAAGTTTTGGGTTTATAGAACAGAGGAGAGGTGTAAAAGTGCACCAACGATCTACCTATTCAGAGTTTCTGGCAGGAGACAGGATCAGAATAAACAAATTCAACGTAAACCTAAAGCCAGATTTCGAGCTGAGGATCAGAACAAACACTTCTTGGTGGAAAACTCAATCACAATTGAGATCAGATGAAGAAATTTGTTCACTTGTAGAAAAAAATCCCACATTTTTCACCATTTGGAGAGGAACTGAAGCCTTCCGCCATATAAAGGAAATCCAGAATGTTAAAAACAAGAAGACAAATTTAGATAGAATCCGAACCCCAAGATATTGCAGAAATCTCGTGTGTTAGGAATATTCCAGAATTACTTTCACATTTACCAAATTTACCCTAATTTCTCAGCAAATCGAAAGCAGGAAACCAACTAAATCACACAGAACCTGAGCTAATTTCCACAATCTAGCTTAGCCCAAATCACGAAATAGATTTTCAGTGAACTTAGACAAACTAAGAGGAACTCAAGCATGACCAAATATCCCCCAAATTCTCCCATTTTCGGAGAGAACAACGGAATTTCCAGGGTTAAAATTAGCAAAAAGAAAACGTACCGTGGCCGCGATCACCGCCTACTCGGTTGTACGCCATGAAGAAGCCAGAGACAATACCTAGGGTTCCAAACACGAGAAGAGCTACGGCTAGAGAGATCTCCTTCACCGGAGGTCGATTATTCACGGTGTAGGAAGTCCCGATCATGATATCTTCGTCCGAAATCGAGAACGCATGATCCACGTACGCCATCGATAGCACCAGAGCAAGCTCACCAGAAGATGATCGGACCAATATAGAAGAAGGAAGCGAGAACAACGTAGTATCAAGTTTTTGTCGTGTGAAGCTAAAGATCGGATTCGGAGCTTTCAGATGAAGAATCAAACTGTTTTGCTTTCAGATGAAGGCGGCGGAGATGGAAAACGCTCGCTGCTATTTTCTCGTGATATCTAATTAGTGGCCCAATCATGTCGGATATGCTATTTACAATGGAACTGCGTGCCGTTTAGCTTCCACCTTTTTCTCATCGAACGGCACGAGGTGCGATTCTTTTCCACACTAGAAAATAAAAAGAAAATAGAACAATGGTTATTTACAATGCCTTATCATTAGCATACCACGTAAAGGTATTATTTTATTTACACAAAGTTTCCCATAAATTGATTTTCCTTTTGTTACAAGACGCCTATTAAGAATTTACGATTCAACACATTTATTTAATAAAGTATAATAGATAATATGCGATGTAAGATCATTTTGATTACTATAAACTAATATGAGTAATCTATGTTCGGTTATGATTGCAATTTTTAAAGCGACAATTGAGCATCATCACTTACCTACAGCAGGGTCTTTTCATTGGTGAAATTGGAAAGCAGGAATATCATATCCTTCCCACAGATAACTGTACTCTAGTGTCCAAACAAGGCAACTCCGAATTGTTCCAGAGGAGAGACGACAGAGCTTTCGGAAGACCCGACGACAATGGCTCCGAAACCCGATCACCAAGCCCTAGCCTCTGCCTCTGCCTCTGCCTCCGCCGTATCGGATTCATTGACTCAGTCGTCGAACGATCCGATCTTCCACATTCTCCGGATCCTTCCGTTCTCCTTTCTCCGGCCGCCGCGTCGCTCCCCTCCTTCACGCTCCCGTCGCCAATGACGGTTTATTCGCTGATCCTCCTCGCCTACTTCATGGACGTCTCCGGCTTCGTCTATGACGTGATTGTCGAGCCTCCGGGTATCGGATCGACTCAGGATCCAGTGACAGGGTCCGTACGACCCGTCGTGTTCGTGCCGGGTCGGGTCAACGGGCAGTACATCATCGAGGGTCTGTCGTGGGGTTCGTGCTCGGTGAGATCGGGATCGTGATGCTGGATCTGGCGCTTGATAAGAACAGGGCTAAGAGCGTCCCCGTATCTCAATTAGGGTTGGATCGGTCGTTGCAATGTGTGATGGGATGCCGAATTTTAGATCGATCGATTGGGAAAGTTATGTCCTTTTTGGTGCTTATAGGCGTTTTTATGGTCAGCGTGGGAGTTTCATCTACATTATAAATATTAAACATTTGCTGGTATGTGAGAATTTGGATTCTGTATTCACCTGTTTGCTTGGCGTTTGATCAAGTGGAAAATATTTATGTTTTTTTTTTTACAATGACAGCAGAAGAGATCCATCCAAACATCCGGGAAGTATTGTTTTATGTTATGTTACGGTTTTCCCATTTTTGGTATAGAAGCATGAAAGCATGGGATTACTACATATAGATCGACCATATATGTCTCAAATTCCCCACCATCTATATCTGCTGCGATCACATCAATAAACGCCGTAACACACACACACACACACGCATATATATATACATATATGTATATATGTGTATATATATTGTATACATGTGTTTATGTGTGAGAGAAAACGAGGCATGTACGAAAAGGCCACGGACTGTGCGTACCTTTGGCTTTTCGGGCACAGAAAGGATTGTAATCCCAAAATAAAAAACGGTAGACGTTACGATGTGGGTCTGAATAACGGAACCTTGTCTAAATCCGAAATAATTGTCGGGTGAGGTACGAACTACGAAGATGAGATATATATATATATATATATATAGTAGGTAAATAAAATAGTAATTTTTTTTGTTACTCAAGATGCAGGTGATAATATATTGATATCATATGCTATTTATGAGCCCATAATCAAATATTATTTTGTTTTACACCGACCGTATAATTCGAGTTTTACAGCCGAATCAGTCGACCGGGGTTAGATTAATAGTAATTCTCTCTTGGGTAAACAATGACATGAATGCTGTCTTGTATATATACACTCATATGTACTAGCATGTATCCACGTGTATCTATATATTATATATGGATATATACATATGATATTTATAAGGTCTGGGTACTGTTTAGTCGCTGAGATTATGTAATATACATATATATAATAATATGTATAATATATATGTATATATATATGCGGTGAATGATAGAGTGCAGTACGTCTCAAATCAAACAAAAGGAAAGCGAAATCTGCAAGGTCGCGCAGCTTGTGCTTATCCAGCGCGACAAGACGATAATCAATACACACCTGTCCACGTTGTCTCTTCTCATACATTATATATATATATATGTATATACGCACCAATTGATTGTATAAACAATTCGAACATCACCATATATCATCAACGGATAACGATATGACTCCCGAATTTTATATATTTTCAACATAACCTGATCTAGTTCGTGGATCCCAAATTCTGTGACGTGTTTTTTTTTCTTTTTGTGAATTACTTTTGTCTCAATATTATTATTATTATTATTATGATTATATAGATTGCATCAAATCTAATTAAATCGTATGTAATCATAGTCGAATTCGAAACAAAGTTGTCATATAATTTTTAAATAATTAACTGAATTGATCAATATCATCGATAGAGTGTAGAAATAACTAAAAAAAGTGAAATAATAACAAATTACAAAAATAAAAAAGGTTGAATTCAATTTGAATATAAAAACGACGTAAAATATTGATTATATAAATGTATAAAATATAATCTCTAAATATTTGAATTCAAATCCATTGAATGGAAGGATTGACCAGAGGAATGTTTGGCTGGCCACGGATTGTGTCAATATATAATTATTATAAATATAAATGTAATTAGTTATATAAAGAGTGTATTATAACATTCACTTATATATATATATATATATATGTATGCATGTCTGCAATTTCGACTTTTTTAATACGATAAGCTGTATATCAGAAATTTGGTGAAATTTCATTCAATTTATAACCAAAATGATGAAATATCAATTTCAAAACTCAGGACCACTGTTACTATTTCATGTCAGTCCAGCTAATAAGGAAAGAGAAAAACACAACATTGCACAGAACCGCAATCACAGCAAAATCTTACAACAATTTTATTCCACAAAAAATACATATATGAAAACATACAAAATAACTTGCGAAATCTCAAATCAAACAATATCACACACACACACACAGAGGAGAAAGGGGTGTTTTTGCAAGAACCCTAAACACAGAGGGACCTCTGGAAAAACCTCGAAAGTACGAGGGGGTAAAAACGAAAAAACGAAAAACTCTCGTCTGCGAAATTTTTTAGGGTTTGGGGGTTCAGTAATAGAGGACGAGACGGCGGTCGCAAGAGGAACAGAAGAATTTGCGGTTGATCTTGAGGCATAGAGGCAGGAAGCATAGGAACCACTTCGTCTCCACGTCGATCGCCTCCACTTTCCCGTCGCAGTACGGACACATTCCCGGCGCTTGTTGCCGACCGAGCTCCCTCTTCTCTTCCCCAAACACGAACACCATACACATTCTATTTCTTTATTCTTCTTCAAAATGATGAAGATGAAGGGAAAAGCCGAAAAGGGTTGTTTTTCTTCAGAGGAAAAAAAAAAAGAGAACAAGGGTTTTTTTCAAAAAAAAAAATTGAATTGAGAGTGGAAAGTACTGGTTTTTTTCCCTCAAAGGATTGGGGGTAGGGCTTCTTGTCGGTCCGACAGGGGATTTATAGAGAATGGAAGGAAGGTTACGTGGCCAAACGCTATACCAATGGATGGTTATATATGTTTTATTTTTTTTATATACGATATATCTTTCTGTCTTTGTTCTCGGGGTGTCTCTTTTATGGTTAGGTTTATGTTTATTGAATACATTATTATATATAGCTTTCCTTTTTTCCCGGTTTTATTTGGTCCATTTATTTATTTTCCATGATTTGTGTGTTGGATCTTGATATATATATATATATAGATATAGATATAGATATTAAAAGCGATGTGTAACTACATGTTTTAAGGATTACACATACACTCTACAAAGATTTCCACGTGTAGTTAACATCAAGGGGTTGTGATCCATATAAAGAGATATACGTGGAACCATATATTTTCAAAGATTTCATAGTCCAGACATTTCAGATATATCAGGTGAGTTAATGTAATTAATAAACACAAATTTTTTTTTTTAGATAATCCAAAAATTTACTAAATCTTTAAACCCATTGATCGGATAAATTCATGTAAATAAGGGAAACTCAGAACCCGAACGGAGAAGGAACTTTGCCGAGTCACACACTTATAATTATAGCAACACTAGACAATGAAACTTCTTCCACAAAATGTGAATTTAATCACAAAACATTGATTCCTATATATATATTCTCGTGCCTCTTATGTACGGCATTGCAAACACATCATTCGTACAAAAGGCCCATTGGGCTTTTAATTTCAACTTCAGGCCCAACCAGTGTCTGTCTTCAAGAACACTCCAGAACTTCTCTCCTCCGCATCATTACGGTTTTCCTTTGGAGCTTCGTTTCACTTATCCGTAAACCCTAAATCCTTGACTTGAAGAAGAAGAAGATGTCGATCATTCCGATCAACGATCGTCGCCGGCTAACTTCCGGCGACGACACATGGGAACCGTTTGATTTCGTCAATTCCTTCTTGGATTTCCCGTCGTCGTTCCCGTCACCGTCGTCCCTACTTTCTCGCCACTTTCCGTCACTTTCCCGAGAAATCTTCCCAGCTTCAACCGTCGAAACGCAGCTGAACTGGACGGAAACCCCGACGGCGCACGTCTTCAAGGCGTACCTCCCCGGCGCGACCCAGGACGAGGCGATCGTGTTCGTCGACGACGAAGGATATCTCCAGATCTGCACGGGTGACAACAAGTTTATGAGCAGATTCAAGCTTCCCAGCAACGCCTTGACGGATCAGGTGACGGCGTGGATGGAAGGGGAATTCCTCGTCGTGTTTGTCGCGAAGGAAGATTTGGCGTCGGAGACGGGAGAGGATCGCAATGTTAGGGTCGTGGAGATTACCGGCGATGATGATTAAGCTTAAGTCGCCTTAATAAATGATCTACTTAAGTAAATTAATCATGTAATTAGGATCGGAAAGAAGTGTGTCCCGTTCTGCGTTTGTGGTGAAGAAGTGTGTGTCGTCTTGTAATCTAGTGGCGCGTGTGAAATTAAATGTCGTAATAAACAATCTAATTAAATAAATTAATAATGTAATTAGCGACAGATTAAGTGTGTTCTGTTCTGCGTTTGTGGTGAAGAAGTGTTTCGTGCAATCTAGTGGTGTGTGTTACCTCACAGATCTGTGTGACGTGGCTATCATTGATTGGTGAGAGCTGTGATGTATCTATATATATATATATATTTTAAAAGATAGAAATAGGAATTTAAAAGAATATGCCTAAAGACATGATTCCCGTTTCTGAGTCAAGATTTTCTGCAGTATATCGTCACTGTAATTTGTAATCAAGACAGAGAACTTGATAAAATAGTTTTTTTTTTATATAATCAATTATTATGAACCAAGTTTCATACTAATCCCGTGAATAAAGATGAACTATATAATTTAAAATATACATTTTTTCTTAAATTTGATATTCGAATTCAAAACAAAAATAAACGTTTTGTATAAAATAATTTATCAATTTTTAAACAATTCTACGGGATTCTATAAAATGGTTTATATTCTAGATAGATTTTAAAGTCAAAATTAAACAAAATAAAATCTTAATTTTATATAATAATGAGAAATAACCCCAAAAACTATAATTTTTTTTAATAAAAAAGATCCATTTGAATAAACCCAAATAATTCTTCAGTTTTTTTTAAACATATAAATAAATTCTTAAATATTACTATACATCCATTTAAAACCTTAGCCAATAAAAATTTCACATTGTGGATTTTAAAATTTTACTTAAATAAAAATATTCGAACTATATAAATTTTAAAATAAATATAACTCAACAAAAATTTTACTTAGAGAATTTGACCCGAACCCGGACCCTAATCTGGACCCGGGAGTTTGACCCGATACCAGCTCAACCTCCCTTTCGATGCTTCTATTCGTCTTTCCGGTAACATTTCCCTTGTCATCATTCCGCTCGCCGAATTTCTTCAACGTTCGAACAAATTCGAACCCGAAACGGAGAAAATTTCATCGATCCAACGATCCAATCGCATGATATTTGCTCCGTATGAAGCATTTTGAACCGGGACTGGAATCCGATTGCGGCTGTCGGCGGACTTCTGGAGTTCTGTTGAGATATTGAGGAGCTATTCTGGGTCTGGATTCTCCTCGGGAGTGAGAGATGATTCAGATTCAACTGGATTCAGAAGATTGATCCGATAACCATGTGGTTTTCCTTCTTGAGATCTAGAGATCGATTCTCCTTGGACGAACTCAGGTTTGTTTTTTGTTTGATCCCGTTTATTTGACGCTCGTTAGGGTTTTTCTCTTTCTGGGTTTTGGGTCGTAATGGTTTTTCCGGGGGTTTACTTTCTCATGTTTGTTCTGCTAACTAAATGTCAATCAGCGATTGATAATTTGATATCTGCCTGATTTAACTTTAATTGTGATTGAGATATTATGTGTTTGAGCATCTAGATCCATTTTTGTGAAATTTGAGTCGTGAGATATTTTGCTTCATAGCTTCACGGAACATGGATAAGTGTTGAACTGGACGCGAGACATTATACTCATTGTTGCTGATATTTCTGGGGAAATTTATTTGATGATTACGTTTAACTTGTATTGAATTCGATTACACTGTTGAAGGCCATTGTTCCAATGCATTTGGGTAGCCCTTTCCATTTTCTGTGAGCTCCTAGAGCTTGAAGCCAATCGGGTTTGTCAAATGCGACAATCGTGATCATATGAGGAAAGACTTGCTCTTAAACTTTCATTGGTTTAGAAAGGTTCAGTCTCGATATTGGATGATTATAAGGTGAATCATGAATGTGAAAGCTTTGGTTTTTAGGTATTTGACTGAGCAGTTGAGAAAGGTTCAGATTGTTAACGAGATCAATAAGGTCAGCAGGATAGTCTTATCCTTTCGTTTTAGTAAATATGTTTCTATGTTATGCTTTAATATTCTTATACCACTTTCCATTTTAAAGGACTTTGTTGTTGAGGCACTGAGATCAATCTCGGAGATATTAACATATGGCGATCAGCATGACCCCTCGTATTTTGAGTGAGTCTCTGTGCTTACACTTGATACCCATATTTCAAATTTTGCATATTTTGAGTTTTTCCATTTGTTGATATCTGTGTTTGCTGCAGATTCTTTATGGAGAAACAAATAATGGGAGAGTTTGTGCGTGTTTTGAAGGTTAGCCGGACAGTGACTGTTTCTGTTCAGTTGCTGCAAACCTTGAGTATTATGATCCAAAACCTAAAAAGTGAACATGCCATATGTGAGTGCCTTTTGATGCAATTTTCCTGTGTTTGAAGAGGTTTTGTTTGTTACAATATACTGATGGTTTTCTTTCGGTAACTCTATGCAGACTACATTTTCAGTAATGAACATATAAACTATCTAATAATGTATACATTTGACTTCCAACATGAGGAGATTCTGTCTTACTACATATCTTTCTTAAGGTACGACTCTTTTGCGATCTTGGCTTTGGTGAGTACATATTGACCATATCTGATGACTGTTTATTACCCTATATGTAGAGCTGTGAGTGGAAAGCTAAACAAGAATACAATATCATTGCTTGTTAAGACGGATAACGTGAGTTTTGTTTGATTTGCATTTTCCTTTTCCTTTAGTGAGCTCAATATGCTTCTGTTTTTGCTTTCATATTTTAATTCTGTGTTTCTGCGTTTAGGATTTAGTAGTTTCTTTTCCCCTTTATGTCGAAGCCATACGATTTGCATTTCATGAAGAGAATATGATACGCACTGCGGTCCGTGCCCTGACTCTCAATGTTTATCATGGTGAGTCCACTTATACCAATTCTTTTCATTTTTTTTTCCATTTTGCACTCTCTTTCTTAAAGATAACTATTAACGCCTTTAGTTTTCTTTTTGCAGTTGGAGATGAATCTGTGAATACTTACGTAGCAAGTCCTCCGCACACAGAGTACTTTTCAAAACTAGTTTTGTTTTTCCAAAAGCAATGCAAGGATCTGAGTGCAATGGTGTTGGACACCCTAAGGTAAGATCCAGCATAATTCTCTCAGTTTCATTTTCAATGGCAAAAAGCTCTTCTTCTGAGGATTGTCATTTTATTGTTCTTAAAGGAGTCCATCCCCAGACTCGAGGACAAAACTTCTTGCTGCCACTGATGGGATCGAGGACGCACTGTACTATTTTAGTGATGTTATTTCCGCTGGCATACCTGATATCGGGAGGCTGATAACAGACCACATTCTGCAGCATCTAACTCTCCCACTAATTCTTCCGTCTTTGTGCATTGAGACTGTTAATGTACATGCCCCTTTTTATTTGTTGAATTCTTTATTCCTTTTAAATTATTTAATTTATTTTTTTGAGTCTTTAGGCTTTATGGTGTATGATCCTACAATCCTAATTTGGTCTACTTTTGGTTTCTGGGTAATTTCAGGATATCCCAATCGACCCGGTCACTTCCCTTTATCTGCTTTGCTGCATCTTGCGTGTAGTTAAAATCAAAGATTTGGCAAATACAACTGCTGCTGCTCTTTTCTGCCCCATAAAGGCGTTCATTTCAAGGTCTCACGCTCATGAAAGCTCTACACTTGGAAATCAACATCAAGGCAATGGTATTGCTGAGAAGAAAATTAAGCAATGTTCAAGCGTTGCAGTATCAAGCGAGGGCATTGATTCTCACAGTTGCATTGAAGATACTGAGAAAAGTAACTTCAACAACCCACATTTGACGTTGAGGTAATGTTTTAGCTTTTAGCACCTCCAGCCTAGAAAAATATCATGATGTTTTCACTGTTTAAGGGTATTATGTTGTCCTGTGGCTTATTCTGTATTCACAGCTTTAGTTGATGTCTTTTGTAACTAGGGAGACTTTGCTTCAGTATATTTCAGAAGGGGATGAGGTAGAAGCGGTGGGTTCTTTATTTGTGATGGCCACTTTGTTGCAAACGAAAGGTATTGTCGTTGGCCTTTCTCAAGAACTCTTTCTTTTGGGGTTTGAACTTCTTACATGCTGTTCAATTTTGTAGAACTCGAAGAATCAATGCTTGATGCCTTTGGCATTCTTCCTCAGCGTAAGCAGCACAAAAAACTTTTGCTGGTGAGTTGCTGTTATTGATATCAGTGTTGTGGTGCAACCTGTCTTGTCCAGCATGTCTCTAATAGACAGGGTTATATTCAGTATTTTCGATTTTAAAGAATTACAGCCCCTGCCTGTCAGGGGTCCTTAAACCACTTTTGCTCGAGCACTTGTAGATGGCATGGATTGAAGTTTATATTTTTTTTCTTCCTGCCGGAAAATACCTCTTGTTTAATTGTTTTCCCTGTTCATTTCTATTAAAATCTTAATCTGGTACTTATTTCCTACAGCAATCTTTGGTTGGTGAGGCCTCTGGTGAAGAACAACTCTTTTCACCCGAAAATGGGTCCATGAGAGATGGCACAAGCAGTGACATTGATTTGTATTTACAGAAGTTGGAGGTACTCTACTGCATCTTAATTTTCCCTTGACAGTTAACTCCTCCCTCTTCATTTCAATCTTTTGAATGTGTTAGTTTGATTTACTTCTTCCTCCAACTATGCCCAACAGGAGCAATTTGGATTATGCTGTTCACTGCCTGGGGTAGGAATTAACCCCAGTGAACATAGAAATCAGGTATATCACCTAAGTTGGTAAAATTATTTAAAATCTAAGCATTGTATGCATGAGTAGGTTGCTATGCAGTGAATGAGACTTGAAAGGATAACAAATAAATCAAACTTTTTTTGGCCTGACCTTCCTAGATTGAAATTTCCCAAATGCTCGTCTTAGTTGACTAATGTATATTGTCTAGGTGGTGGACGCATTGGTCAATCTTCTCTGCCGAGAAAACATATCTGCTGAAACACTGTGGGATGGTGGTTGGCTTTTACGTCAATTGCTTCCTTACAGCGAGGCAGAATTTAATTGCCAACATCTTGAGATGCTGAAGGTATGTCGCTTTCAAGATGTTTTTTTTATTGAGCCCCACTTGTTTATCCTCTCTTTCTATTATTCAGATTCCTTATTCAGCATTGCAATAACGATATGTCGATATTACAATGGTCCGGACAGTTTTCATATGAGAAATGCTCAAGCGCACTTATTCGGGAAATTAAGGGTACCTGGTCTGATCTACTCATCCCAGTACTGCTTGATGAGTGGAAAAAGTGCAAAAGAGGCAAGTATAAACGTTAAAAGCGGTTTTCAAATACAGAGAATATATTCATTGTGTCTAATACTAAATCTCTTTTTGACAGTGATTGAAGCTCCATCACCTCGAAAAGAGCCTAAATTCATTCTTCTCCAGCTGAACAAATCTTCTTCTGATGGTAGAATACTCTTTGTCCATTTCCTTCTTCTCTGATCGTGAATGATCTTTTCCCTCTTCTGTTTATCTCCCTCATCAAACCTTGTAAATCATTCACAAATTGGGAACTTTGTGCAGATAACGTTGTTAGCGAATCATCATTCACGGCCGGTGAAAGAATGTGCGAGTTGGTAAAGGTTCGTCCAGTGAATTGCTCTCTTAACCAAGGCAGCATGTGTGGTTGAGATATCTGATAAATCTAACCTCTTCTTTCTTAGGTCTTTTTGCTTCTTCATCAAATCCAAATCTTCTCGCTTGGTAGGCCCTTGCCAGAACAGCCTCCAACCGATCCACCTGAGATGTCCCTCGCTACAACTTCTGGTTTGGATGTTTCAGTCCCGAAGCCTGGCACCGAACTGAAACTAGGTTAGTTCTTACAACTGCATGATCTACTTACAAGACTGTTAATGCCGGATGTGAAAGAACGTTAATATTTTTCTTGTACAATTCCATTTAATCTTGCGAATAACAAAAAAATAAACTTGTTCTGTTGATTGAGTTCTTATCATCTCAGGAGGGAATCATTCTCATCTTTTGGGTTTGTTCTATTCAGGTGATGCAGTGCCCTGTAGGATTGCCTTTGAAAGAGGCAAGGAACGGCACTTTTCCTTTCTAGCATTCACATCCGGGTTATCCGGGTGGATCGTCCTTACTGAAGAATCGCCTTTGAAATCAGATTACGGGATTGTCCGTGTCACTGCACCTTTAGCCGGATGCAATGTAAGTACTCGCTTCTATCGTCCTTTAGGTAATATACATGTGAAAGGGGTGGTTTAAATACAAAATTTAGATTTTTTTTCAAAATATATATCATATATTAGGAGTTGGTTTGGGTCAGCTAACCCGAATCCGAAATCAAGAGATTCAATAGGTTTGTAATATATATAAAACTTTGGGGCAACAAATTTTTTTACTGTTCATTCAGGTATCCACGGGTAATACCGTGATCTCAGACCCAATTGCCCGAATTCAAACCTGATTTTCGGGTTTTGGCCACATTATAACTCGATTTCATCTCATATAGTGTTCGGGTGTCTGAATCAGTTTTTTTTTGCCTAGCCCCACGTGAAAGATCACGCATATATGGCATTTACAAAGATATCGACCATTATATTGTACATGATCACACAATAATTTCTCTTTCGTGTTTATCAGCCTCGGATAGATGAGAAACACCCTACATGGCTACACTTGAGAATCCGTCCATCCGCCTTACCATTCTTGGATCCAGCAAAGCGTGGAGTCTATGAGAAGCTCAAGACGAAAGGTCTGGTCGACGGGAGATGGACATTGGCATTCACGGATGAAGTATCTTGTAAATTGGCTTACTCCATGGTCGTGGACGAGATCTGTAGACAAAGCAACGAGGTCGAAAGAAGATTAAAACCATTGCTCGAGCTCGAACAAATTCAAGACCAATCGAACCTTGCATCCGATTCTTCCTCTTCTACTTCATCATCACCACCGTCTTCGGGCTGAGCTCAGAATTCGGGTATTGAACTTTGGTCCCTACTTGTAAATGAAATATTTGAAGCACCAGTATTTAGAGATATATCCATAGAGTAGTGTTTCCATTGTTCTTTCCTTCACCTTTTAAGTTTGGGTGCCTTATTTTGCAAGTTATCATTCGTTCACCACTTCGTCTCTCTAACCCTAGAGTTCGTGTTTCTGTTTCCTGTTGGGCTTTTTTCCTGCTCCCTTTAATAATTTTTGTATGTTTTTTTGTATCATCATTGTATATTTGATGCAGTTTTATAGTGATTTTTCCTCTTCATATATATATATATATATATATATAAAGATGGTCTAATTTATTGATTCACTTCTGATGTATATTAATTATTTCAGTGACTTCATATTATCATATTATTTTAGTATTCAAATGAGATTTGCCTACATAATTGGTGGTGGACGCATTGGTCAATCTTCTCTGCCGAGAAAACATATCTGCTGAAACACTGTGGGATGGTGGTTGGCTTTTACGTCAATTGCTTCCTTACAGCGAGGCAGAATTTAATTGCCAACATCTTGAGATGCTGAAGGTATGTCGCTTTCAAGATGTTTTTTTTATTGAGCCCCACTTGTTTATCCTCTCTTTCTATTATTCAGATTCCTTATTCAGCATTGCAATAACGATATGTCGATATTACAATGGTCCGGACAGTTTTCATATGAGAAATGCTCAAGCGCACTTATTCGGGAAATTAAGGGTACCTGGTCTGATCTACTCATCCCAGTACTGCTTGATGAGTGGAAAAAGTGCAAAAGAGGCAAGTATAAACGTTAAAAGCGGTTTTCAAATACAGAGAATATATTCATTGTGTCTAATACTAAATCTCTTTTTGACAGTGATTGAAGCTCCATCACCTCGAAAAGAGCCTAAATTCATTCTTCTCCAGCTGAACAAATCTTCTTCTGATGGTAGAATACTCTTTGTCCATTTCCTTCTTCTCTGATCGTGAATGATCTTTTCCCTCTTCTGTTTATCTCCCTCATCAAACCTTGTAAATCATTCACAAATTGGGAACTTTGTGCAGATAACGTTGTTAGCGAATCATCATTCACGGCCGGTGAAAGAATGTGCGAGTTGGTAAAGGTTCGTCCAGTGAATTGCTCTCTTAACCAAGGCAGCATGTGTGGTTGAGATATCTGATAAATCTAACCTCTTCTTTCTTAGGTCTTTTTGCTTCTTCATCAAATCCAAATCTTCTCGCTTGGTAGGCCCTTGCCAGAACAGCCTCCAACCGATCCACCTGAGATGTCCCTCGCTACAACTTCTGGTTTGGATGTTTCAGTCCCGAAGCCTGGCACCGAACTGAAACTAGGTTAGTTCTTACAACTGCATGATCTACTTACAAGACTGTTAATGCCGGATGTGAAAGAACGTTAATATTTTTCTTGTACAATTCCATTTAATCTTGCGAATAACAAAAAAATAAACTTGTTCTGTTGATTGAGTTCTTATCATCTCAGGAGGGAATCATTCTCATCTTTTGGGTTTGTTCTATTCAGGTGATGCAGTGCCCTGTAGGATTGCCTTTGAAAGAGGCAAGGAACGGCACTTTTCCTTTCTAGCATTCACATCCGGGTTATCCGGGTGGATCGTCCTTACTGAAGAATCGCCTTTGAAATCAGATTACGGGATTGTCCGTGTCACTGCACCTTTAGCCGGATGCAATGTAAGTACTCGCTTCTATCGTCCTTTAGGTAATATACATGTGAAAGGGGTGGTTTAAATACAAAATTTAGATTTTTTTTCAAAATATATATCATATATTAGGAGTTGGTTTGGGTCAGCTAACCCGAATCCGAAATCAAGAGATTCAATAGGTTTGTAATATATATAAAACTTTGGGGCAACAAATTTTTTTACTGTTCATTCAGGTATCCACGGGTAATACCGTGATCTCAGACCCAATTGCCCGAATTCAAACCTGATTTTCGGGTTTTGGCCACATTATAACTCGATTTCATCTCATATAGTGTTCGGGTGTCTGAATCAGTTTTTTTTTGCCTAGCCCCACGTGAAAGATCACGCATATATGGCATTTACAAAGATATCGACCATTATATTGTACATGATCACACAATAATTTCTCTTTCGTGTTTATCAGCCTCGGATAGATGAGAAACACCCTACATGGCTACACTTGAGAATCCGTCCATCCGCCTTACCATTCTTGGATCCAGCAAAGCGTGGAGTCTATGAGAAGCTCAAGACGAAAGGTCTGGTCGACGGGAGATGGACATTGGCATTCACGGATGAAGTATCTTGTAAATTGGCTTACTCCATGGTCGTGGACGAGATCTGTAGACAAAGCAACGAGGTCGAAAGAAGATTAAAACCATTGCTCGAGCTCGAACAAATTCAAGACCAATCGAACCTTGCATCCGATTCTTCCTCTTCTACTTCATCATCACCACCGTCTTCGGGCTGAGCTCAGAATTCGGGTATTGAACTTTGGTCCCTACTTGTAAATGAAATATTTGAAGCACCAGTATTTAGAGATATATCCATAGAGTAGTGTTTCCATTGTTCTTTCCTTCACCTTTTAAGTTTGGGTGCCTTATTTTGCAAGTTATCATTCGTTCACCACTTCGTCTCTCTAACCCTAGAGTTCGTGTTTCTGTTTCCTGTTGGGCTTTTTTCCTGCTCCCTTTAATAATTTTTGTATGTTTTTTTGTATCATCATTGTATATTTGATGCAGTTTTATAGTGATTTTTCCTCTTCATATATATATATATATATATATATAAAGATGGTCTAATTTATTGATTCACTTCTGATGTATATTAATTATTTCAGTGACTTCATATTATCATATTATTTTAGTATTCAAATGAGATTTGCCTACATAATTGGTGGTGGACGCATTGGTCAATCTTCTCTGCCGAGAAAACATATCTGCTGAAACACTGTGGGATGGTGGTTGGCTTTTACGTCAATTGCTTCCTTACAGCGAGGCAGAATTTAATTGCCAACATCTTGAGATGCTGAAGGTATGTCGCTTTCAAGATGTTTTTTTTATTGAGCCCCACTTGTTTATCCTCTCTTTCTATTATTCAGATTCCTTATTCAGCATTGCAATAACGATATGTCGATATTACAATGGTCCGGACAGTTTTCATATGAGAAATGCTCAAGCGCACTTATTCGGGAAATTAAGGGTACCTGGTCTGATCTACTCATCCCAGTACTGCTTGATGAGTGGAAAAAGTGCAAAAGAGGCAAGTATAAACGTTAAAAGCGGTTTTCAAATACAGAGAATATATTCATTGTGTCTAATACTAAATCTCTTTTTGACAGTGATTGAAGCTCCATCACCTCGAAAAGAGCCTAAATTCATTCTTCTCCAGCTGAACAAATCTTCTTCTGATGGTAGAATACTCTTTGTCCATTTCCTTCTTCTCTGATCGTGAATGATCTTTTCCCTCTTCTGTTTATCTCCCTCATCAAACCTTGTAAATCATTCACAAATTGGGAACTTTGTGCAGATAACGTTGTTAGCGAATCATCATTCACGGCCGGTGAAAGAATGTGCGAGTTGGTAAAGGTTCGTCCAGTGAATTGCTCTCTTAACCAAGGCAGCATGTGTGGTTGAGATATCTGATAAATCTAACCTCTTCTTTCTTAGGTCTTTTTGCTTCTTCATCAAATCCAAATCTTCTCGCTTGGTAGGCCCTTGCCAGAACAGCCTCCAACCGATCCACCTGAGATGTCCCTCGCTACAACTTCTGGTTTGGATGTTTCAGTCCCGAAGCCTGGCACCGAACTGAAACTAGGTTAGTTCTTACAACTGCATGATCTACTTACAAGACTGTTAATGCCGGATGTGAAAGAACGTTAATATTTTTCTTGTACAATTCCATTTAATCTTGCGAATAACAAAAAAATAAACTTGTTCTGTTGATTGAGTTCTTATCATCTCAGGAGGGAATCATTCTCATCTTTTGGGTTTGTTCTATTCAGGTGATGCAGTGCCCTGTAGGATTGCCTTTGAAAGAGGCAAGGAACGGCACTTTTCCTTTCTAGCATTCACATCCGGGTTATCCGGGTGGATCGTCCTTACTGAAGAATCGCCTTTGAAATCAGATTACGGGATTGTCCGTGTCACTGCACCTTTAGCCGGATGCAATGTAAGTACTCGCTTCTATCGTCCTTTAGGTAATATACATGTGAAAGGGGTGGTTTAAATACAAAATTTAGATTTTTTTTCAAAATATATATCATATATTAGGAGTTGGTTTGGGTCAGCTAACCCGAATCCGAAATCAAGAGATTCAATAGGTTTGTAATATATATAAAACTTTGGGGCAACAAATTTTTTTACTGTTCATTCAGGTATCCACGGGTAATACCGTGATCTCAGACCCAATTGCCCGAATTCAAACCTGATTTTCGGGTTTTGGCCACATTATAACTCGATTTCATCTCATATAGTGTTCGGGTGTCTGAATCAGTTTTTTTTTGCCTAGCCCCACGTGAAAGATCACGCATATATGGCATTTACAAAGATATCGACCATTATATTGTACATGATCACACAATAATTTCTCTTTCGTGTTTATCAGCCTCGGATAGATGAGAAACACCCTACATGGCTACACTTGAGAATCCGTCCATCCGCCTTACCATTCTTGGATCCAGCAAAGCGTGGAGTCTATGAGAAGCTCAAGACGAAAGGTCTGGTCGACGGGAGATGGACATTGGCATTCACGGATGAAGTATCTTGTAAATTGGCTTACTCCATGGTCGTGGACGAGATCTGTAGACAAAGCAACGAGGTCGAAAGAAGATTAAAACCATTGCTCGAGCTCGAACAAATTCAAGACCAATCGAACCTTGCATCCGATTCTTCCTCTTCTACTTCATCATCACCACCGTCTTCGGGCTGAGCTCAGAATTCGGGTATTGAACTTTGGTCCCTACTTGTAAATGAAATATTTGAAGCACCAGTATTTAGAGATATATCCATAGAGTAGTGTTTCCATTGTTCTTTCCTTCACCTTTTAAGTTTGGGTGCCTTATTTTGCAAGTTATCATTCGTTCACCACTTCGTCTCTCTAACCCTAGAGTTCGTGTTTCTGTTTCCTGTTGGGCTTTTTTCCTGCTCCCTTTAATAATTTTTGTATGTTTTTTTGTATCATCATTGTATATTTGATGCAGTTTTATAGTGATTTTTCCTCTTCATATATATATATATATATATATATAAAGATGGTCTAATTTATTGATTCACTTCTGATGTATATTAATTATTTCAGTGACTTCATATTATCATATTATTTTAGTATTCAAATGAGATTTGCCTACATAATTTTTTTTAACTCAAAAGTAATCAATTACGCGGTCACCCGAGCAACGAGTCTACAAGGTCATGCGGCCATGTCATTACCAAGAAAGCGTGATCTTAAGCTTCTGTCGGGAAAGTTCCAGTGGTTTCGGAAGTGTTTGTAGCAACTGAAATACGCGTATGTATATGGCCGGTAAAGTAAAAACCATAGCTAAAAGTTCCCAAAAGGAAAATGGCATAGCTACTCACATATACCATGTATGATATATGACAAATTGTACACATGTTATTTTGGTTCCAAAGGGTAAACCTTATGTACTCTGTTTCAAACAAGATATCAACCCTAAGACCAGACATTTTTCATTTCTTTAATCTCAAGGATAGGTATGAAGAAAAGGGTTGCTATCTGTCTAATCTAAGTTGTGGAAGCCAGGGAGAAGCGACGTTATAAAGCCAAAGACGATCATCTGAATCTCTTTGACGATTCCCCACCATTGGTTTCCCACTTCTGCTTCAACTGGATTCTCATTCTCATTTGCTCGGTTCCCGTTATCCGCATGCTGAGCTTCATTCTCTTCTCTACCTTGTCCTTCTGCACATAATGTAACAGCTTCAGTTAAAATGTATATGACGATGGCTTCAGATAATTCTCCTAAAAATTTGTCTTCCAAAGCCGAGTTCGAGCATAACACAGGTAGGCAATGAGATATCATGATATGAAAAGACCGAAATTTTAAGGACTTAAAAGGTTGTATAGCAACGTCAAAGCCATGAAAGATGCCAATATAGTACTAAGGCCAGAAAATGATAAAATCTTCAAGTGTAATGTTGAATATGCATAATATATATATATATACCCGGAGCAGCATTATCGTTCTGTGGCCTTGCAGCTGCTGGATCATTATCAGCTCTTAGAGCAGGTCTTTGATGCCGTGGTGCAGCTGCTGCCCTCTGCATGCCTTGGGAAAGCCATTGAACTAACGGAGTAAGTGCTCCAGTTTGGTATCTGTCAAATTCAACAGTCAAAGCATTTAAGCTTCTAACTTTACTGCTTCTGAACATAAACCAACTAAAAGCCTCAAGGCCTTCAGCAATTGCCAAGGCGGATGTTCAGCACTGATTCCTTGTCATACTCTAGATCCCACGGTTCTTGAAGAGAAATCTAACAGATTTTTGAGACTTACAAGTATATAATTGAAGCGAAAAACACCAGAACGGCTAGCCTTTGCCTTGATCCATCTTGGTTGAACAAAAAGATAACAGCAGCCAGCTTGAGTATGAGAAATAAATCAAGCTGGAACGCTATCTGGAATCTCCTTACAACGACTTGTCTTTGATGAGCAGGTTCTTGCTGCTGACCCTGTTGTTGTTGCCCACCTTGTGCATGTTCATCACCCCCAGTCGCAGCCTCATTACTTGACCTCGTGCTATAAGAAACAAAAGTCAATTACCAAAACCATAACCACGCTCATACACCTCTTTAAACTCACCAATGACTCGAAAATCTGATTTAAATTTGGACACACACTTGATGAACTGCTCGTATTATCAACTGGGTTAAACTCATAAAGTCCATGCTTAAGTGACTACCTTGTCATCCTCTCAAAGGGCATTGAACTGGAATCTAGTATCCAATTCTAGAGAAATCCAAACCGGTAATTCTGTTCGGTACATAGACGACCCAATGATCCTAACAAGCAATACTCGGTACGACACGATATTCTTAAGATCTAGCATAAAATTCTACAATATTTTTGTTCCGGGTAAGGAACCTGGGAATGAGAAGCTTAACACCTCAATAGAGAGGTCACACAGAACGGCAACAGCAATATAAATTATTAAAGGTAATTCACCAAACTCATGAAAGATGGAAGAAAACTACTTACGTTGGGATATTGTATGTAAGCGGGATAAGGTTATTAGAAGGAAGACCAGCAACATGTCCTGTAAAAGGAAGGACAGGGACCGCATAGATGCCAGCTCCTCGGTTCGTCTGTTCCTCGTACTGCGTTGGATTCATTCCAGGAGCTAGAAAAGGATACCAAACCGGATACATCGGGAAATCCCCATTTGGATAAGTTTGAAACCCAGAAGGCGCTGAAGCCTGGAAAATCACACAAAATTAACTCAAGAATCAACACAAGATACAACACAAAGTTACTGGCTGCATTAAAAGATCGAATTGGCTCAAAATTAGGCAACGGAGCTCCAAATTCGCAAACCCTAATTGATCATATATTCCCAGATGGGCATGATCCAACAACAGAAACTAAAAGCCCTCTATCACTCATCATCAGATCAAAAGGCGGGGCATCGTAGAAATCGAAGAAAAGGATAACCAGGGTGAGAGATGTATAAATCGACCAACCTGGGATTTAATGTCTGCATCATCGGGTTTTGTGTCACCGGAAGATTGCTGTGAGGTTGAAGACGGCTCCTTTTCGGGTTCCTCCGCCATTATCAAAGGATCAAGATCTTCCTCAACACTCTTTTCTCTGTCTTCCTGAGTCCGCCAAAATGTCCTCCCCGTTCCTTCTGAGAGCTTTGGCGGCTTTGGCTGGGCGAACTACGTCGCCTCTTCGTCATCCCTCCAATGAATAACCGCCACGTCATCCGAGCTCGTAACATAGTTAGCAATTTGGATTATTGGAATAATGAAGATTAAAAATGGATTTCTTTCTGTATAAATAGCACATAACTTCCTATGCTTTTCAAAATATTAAAGACTTATTTCTTAAAATATATGAAATACTCTACTGCTAACTACTATATAAAAGAACAAAATAAAATAAAAAAATCGCAAGAAGTGTTTATTAATTATAATCAAATAATAGATCAATAAATATGGTGGGGCTCCGACCCGATTCAAGAATTTTACCCGTGGACTCTTCCCGATCCCCATTTTTCTGGGAAGCTAGGGTTTGCTCGGTTTCTCTCGATTCAGCGAATCGGAACCCACGGGAACACGACAATGGCGATGAGGAGGGTGTACAGTGAGATCAAGGGGAAGAAGGTGAAGGAGCTTCCGAGCTACTTCAAGCCGATGTTCTCGATTGAGAACGCGAAGAACGCTGTGAAGAGAGGTCTCGACAATTACAACGAAAAGTACATTCAGACCAGCTCCGTCGATCCTCTGCTTCATGTCTGTTTCGGTGGCATGATCTTATCGTACCTTGTTGCTCTTCCCCACGAGCGCCGCCACCTCGAGCACCAGCAGCATGCCAAGGAGCATGGCGGTCACTGATGCGGAGGAATCGTTTCGAGCCTTTCGTTTCTCGATGATTAGAGGTGTGTACAAGGATTGAATTTCAATTTCCTCCGATTATTCGTTTTGGTGTTACTGTGTGATCCTTGGGGATCCTAATTCAGAACTGTTAATCATCTAGATGATTTTGGTATCGGTAATTAAGTGTTTTACCTCTACTGCGATTCGGCACCACGTATTCGGTGATGTGGGATTTCATATTGGGGAAATTGATTAGTGCGATAGTGTAACAGTTTCTGCCTGTGTCCTCAAAGTGCCCGTCTTCATGAAGAAAAGGTTTGTCATGAATTCATCAAATCAATTTTTACTAACATGGCTCATGCTTTTGTTTTCCGTGCAGATTCGGTGGTGCAAAATCCTTCTTCGTTTGTGAAGATCGTGTTGCTCAATGTTCTTTTTTCAAATTTCCTGGATCTTGTTGACCAGAAATACCTTTGTTTTGAATTGCATTTCGTACGTAATAAAAGAAGCATGATCCATAAACAGTGAAACACTCTTTTGATTGCATATAAAAATTGTCGGGCATTTATTGTTATTGACATATTGAAGTACCGTTGCTTTATTCATTACCAGTTCAGAGCAGATCACAGACATTCCTTGATCTGCCATTGCTGACCACAAAAGGTATTATTCTCTATGCTTTATTTTGCTGGTCCAATCTTATGTGAGAATGAACTCCATTGGAAAGTTAGACAGCTAATTCAAGCGTAGGAGGCAAAGGCACCATCTGTAGCACAACAGCGTCAAGGGTGAGACCGGCTCCAAACCCGACCATGACTCCATAATCGGAACCTTCATTCCTCTGCTCAACCATCCTTTTCTTTACTTCATTGAGGACGAATAAGGTACTCGAGCTCATCATGTACCCATATTCTCTCCACACCTTCCTTGAAACCTCTAATTTGTCCTTATGTAGCTGCAATTCTGCTTCTATTCTGTCGAGCACTGGCTTACTTGTTGCCTGCATCACCCAGAACACCGCGTTCCAGTCTTTGATTGTGTCGGTGCCCGTATCGTGAAGCATTTTAGTCAAGAAGTCGTTGAGGTGACAACTAATGGCCGAGGCTGTTACCCGCTAACCCAAGGTAAGTAAATTCAGTCTGATCACAATCAGCCTAAAGTTAAAGAATCACATCTTGTAAGAGAGGAACACATTACCTATGAATCCAGGGACCTTTGTTCTTCTGTCCATTGAGAATCCATTCTCATTCACACGCCCACAGAGAGCCCCATCTGAATCCGGAATGATCGTTTGCGCCCCGCCCACTATCCGGAAAAATGGCCGTTCACATGACTTATTATTATTATTATTATTATTATTAACCACTATCTTTTACGATAACTTCAAATCTAAAAAATATAACCGGTGTCTGGTATCAAATCTAAAACCCTTAATTATTATCCTAATATTATTGGAATAAATAAACCAAAACCAAATGTAAAGCATACTAATATCTAAATTTTATGCAAACTAAAACTTTCAATAGCATTCTATATAAATGTTTCGGTTCTTTTCTAAAAGTTTCTCAAAATAATCTTTATTATTTTTGTAAAATGGGCATTAAAATGGGAAAATCACTCAAATATACGAAAGGGGTCGCAACAATTTCAACGATACACCCAAAAGTAAATTTTTTTTTCAATTCTATACCACTTTTGGGTTTAAAAAATCCGAAATAACCTTTCTTTCATATTTTTTACGACTTTATTACGACTGTTATATAACTAGTATACGACTAAAAAAAGAAGTATTTACGATCATATAACAACTAAAGATCTTGTAAACAATTAGATGTATTTTTTGCCACCTCATTTAGAATCAATTGCAACTGTATTTAGAATCAATTGCAACTGTATTTAGAATCAATTACGATATTACAATTATAATTACACTGTTTTATTAAGGGTAATATGGTTTTTTTGAAGTAAATTTAATGAGTTATATTTTTTTTGGTGTATCCGAGAAACTCCTGCGACAGGTTTGGTATATCTGAGTGATTTACCCATTAAAATATAAAAGATTTTCAAATTTAAAGAGTAATTATTTAATCAAATAAGCACCAAAAAAACAATGAAAAAAACCAGAAGAGCTGTGGAAAGGGCCTTTTGAGCCCAACGCTAAATGAAAGATTTTTAACTCATTCTTATTTACTAGGCCCACCTGCATTACAATATATGCCCATTGTTGAATTTGTCATCGAAATACCCACGCGCATGTAAAGCGCGTGATATCCACATCCCAGTAAGTCGACGAGATTGGCTGTTTTTGTCCCCACTCATGTAACGTTTTACATATTTCTTCTAGTAAGTAGCATATCTACATATATATATATATATGTGTGTGGCTCGTTGACTTGGTGAATGGTTGATATATGCAAGTCTTCTCGAAAATCGATTCAAACCTATGGATTTTCTAGTCATAAATAACGAAAACTTATATAAACAATTCGGAACAAATTTGAGCTTAATTTAATTGAAAAAGTCGTCTAATGAATATTATATGGGTTGCTTTTAAATTGACCCATATGGATGCTAAGAGAATAATACGAGAAATGGTCAATAATAACATGCACGTAAATCATACTCGGTATGCCCCCCAACATGCACATGCATATGGGACAACTTGTGAGACAGAAGAGCTCTGTTATGCTACATGCGGCAATATTATATATATATATTCTTTTATACAATATTGGAACCCAAAATAAATTAATTTCATGATCAACAACGATATATGAAAAATGCTGGTATATACGATAGTGTGTGTAATTATTTTTAGCAAAAACAATTTTACTACTCATAGGTTAATTATGCAAAAACAATCTAACGCTTAAATTTAAGGAAAATTCCCAAAAAAATTATCCAATTATGAGATAACTATCACATTCATCACGAATTTTTAAAATTTCCAAATTCATACTGGATTTGAATTTTTTGTCTAAAAAATCATTCGAAATTTAAATTTTAACAAAATCTTCATCGGAACAGAATTAATTTTGCCACGTAGGCATAAAACGCTTACATGGCGCCTACGTGGCATGTACGTGTTTGCCACGTAGGATACACGTGGCATTAATAATAAAAAAAATTGAAAAAAAATTGAAAAAAATGTAAAAAAATTATAAAAAATATGAAAAAATTACAAAAAAATGTAAAAAATGTAAAATTGTAAAAACATTTTCAAAAAATGTAAAAAAATGTAAAAATTATAAAAATTGTAAAAAAATGGCAAAAAATTATAAAAATTGTAAAAAATGTAAAATTGCAAAACATTTTCAAAAAATGTAAAAAATTGTAAAAAATTGTAAAAATTGTAAAAA